GAGAGGTGGTGGAAAAATGCAAGCTTTCTCTTAGAAATAATTTAAAGGGGAAAGAGACTGAAGGGATTTTCATCAAAAATTACCCACAGAAATATTCCAGGGTGTTTTATGTTTTGTTTTGTTTTTTTTAACCCCAGAATGAAAACAACCTTCTGTGCCCATTCAAATGATTTCAAAATGAACCCCCTCATTTTGTTTGTAAAATAATTGTTTTCCAGTAAAAAAAATAAATGCAGAAACAAGGTTTTATTTCAATTATTTATTAATTTATTGTTTATGTTATGCTGGCATCCAAGACTGAAAGCTTGTGTAGCAGTGCAGGTCTGTTTCAGCTGACCTGAGTTAGCCTATGTGTATTTTGGGTTGGAGGCAAGGAAGGTTGTAGATTTAGTTCCAGAAATAGTGAGGTAGGAACACAGGCAAAAAGTGAAGAACCATACTCTACATATCATCATGTAGACCTTACATGATCTAGTAGAACCAGTGCTATTTCTGGGTCATTTTTGCATGCACAAAAAGTAATACAGGACACCTGTTCTTATGAAGTTTGGTAAAGGTAAGATCATTAAGATCTTAAGAGAAAAAACAGACTTTGTGATACTTCTTATACTTGTCAATAAATACTCTCAAGAACATTGCACTAGATTTCTGAACCAGCAAACTTTTCCTGTTATGTAAATCCTTCTCAGATCTAATCCCTCTGCATGCAGCCTGCTGGTCCTTGGACTCAGCTTGCAAAATTTTACACTCATTTCTGGGTTATATGTAGTTCAGGATTGTGTTGATTTATCGGGGAGCTCAGCAGTGAACAGTTCTCTTAGTATGTAAGGTAGCGTTAGTCTTTTAAGATTTTGGGCGCATTAGTGTTTTGTTGTAGTATGAATGTTTGAAGGGATTTTTGCAAATAGAGGGTGCTTCAGCTGAGACTGGGCTAATAGGCTGATGATTGGCTCCTGCCTCCTTCCACGGGTATGTAGGAGATACTGGTTCAAAGCTCTGGTCCAAACTGGGCAGAGCACTGAGTTGACCTTGATGCTCCCAGTTGACTGTGCTAACCAGTGGACTGCTTTTTTCGACTGAGTATATGTAGAAGATTGAATCAGCAGACAAGAAAAATAAGGAACTTCATGCTTCTAAATGTTAGGGCAATTCTTTGCAATGAATTACTGCTTGATTTAAAATGAGAACTTTAAGTTTCTCGCAGCCCACACAATTTTCCAGATCATTGGGCTTTTCTAGTCTCTGTATTGGTCTGTTTCCTTTCTACACCATCTCTCAGCCATAGAAACTGTTCCAGAAAAAAAGCCTGTTTTTTTTTCTTTATCAAAATTGGTCAATTTCCAAGAAAAGTTTCTATGAACTGGCATATATGACTGAAGAACTACTTTGTTGAAAAATTCCCAGCGCTTCTAAATTCTGGGTTAAAATTCCTCTATTTTAAGGGCCAAGTTAATTTGCTCAGAAGAAAGAAAAAGAAAGTGAGTCTTAGGATGTCAAGGGAGGATTTTTAAACTATTCCAGAATGTTTAACTGAATCTTTAAGACAACTAGATTCATAGATTCATATATTTTGATTGGCCTTCTGTATAATATAGGAAGGAAAAGTGCCAGTGCAAGGAGTTTTGTGTTACTGAGATTCCAATCTACTGCATGCTGATTCAACTGGCCATGGTGAGATAGATACCCAGAGTATTAAATCCTTCCCTGACTCATTGCTCCCTGGGTTCCCTTTGCAGGATTTTTTTCAAGTATAGATTTTACTGGGGTATAAATAAAAGTATTTGCCTTTGCTCTGTATTGTAAATATACATATATTTATTATATGCTACTGTTTTTCTGTATGATGCTGTGTAAGTCACTTCTTTCCTCAGTGCTTCAACCCCCTGCCTGTGTAGTAAGTATTGCTGTCTAACAAAGTTTTGCAGTGCTTTTGCACTGCAACATTTGCAAGCTCTTCGTGTTCTGTAGTGATGTTGCTAAATATAGCCACAGATAGATGGGGAAGGAGCAGATTTACAGGGGGAAAAGGGCATCAGACCCTCCCGCTACTAGTACTACAGAGGCATGCACTGTCAGTCATATGGTGATTTTGTGGCTGCATCCCTATAGACCTGCCAATCAAGATGTCAGCTGTTTTAATACAAACATATGTCCTTCTGCATCACTGGGTCTTGCTCCCGGCTGTCCCTGTCTCCTCTGTTACCCACTCCTGGCTTCACTATGCTTGTTTCCATACTAGGTCACGTTCAAGTGCTCTGTGGCAGTTGTGCAGGGGCATACAGCATTGGAAGGAGTGCTGCTCTTCGGCAAAGAGCACTTTTACATCTGTGAGTGCTTTGTGTTATCACCTCTGGAAGAAGTCTACTGTACACGTCACTGCTTGTCCAGGTGGGTCGTTCTTTTCTCCCAGAGATCTGCTGGGTTAACTTCAGTATTGGCAGATGGATACCTAGAATTTGCACAGACCTTGGGGGGGATTTCAAGAGGGATATTAGCAAAGCAAGAAGTTTGCTCTCCTTTCCACCTGTTCACAGAATTGTTTAACATAACTAACGTAGGTGCTTGCTCACAGGCTTTGGAGGTGCAACAAGGACTGCCAGCGCCAACAGATGGAGATGGCGGGCAGTCTAACACATCCGTTGCTGTTTTCCAATTCTTTTGAAGTGTTGCTAATGTTTCTTTCTGACTGGCTCCCATCTTTTATTCATACGGAACCGTCATTACAAGAGCCTTTAGCTTCATTGTCTCATAAGTTTTTATTTGTTTCTCCAAGACAGAATCGTAATTAATATTTGGCACACTGCTATCATCTTTGACTCATGATTTATTGAAACTGATCAATATTGAAAATGAGTCTGTTAGACTTAGCTTTTTGTGCATACTGTGTGCTCATGTGCAAAGCCCAGTGGGATAGAGAGTAACTCAGTGTTTTTACTCCCTGACTGTCTGCTCTACATCCGATTCTTACTAAGTCCAATATCAGTCAATCTGATCAGGTGACTTAAGGATCGATTGGGCTCAGTCCGATAAAAGTTTAGGCTGGTTTTCTACAGGATTTGCTATGGGCTAGGCTGTAGATAGCAATTGCAATACGTGTACACAACTAAAGTAATAATGATTTAATTGCTTAATTATTAGTTCCAATTAATTGCTGTTTATAATACCTGTGTGTCCATATGATGCTTGCCCTTGACCCAGGCTTTCAGATTCTCCCACCCAGCTCCTTCCCTTGCTGCTTCTCAGACTTCAATGTGTGCAAAACATTACTGTCTACTTGCATGCACTAAAATCATTTTAAACCTACCCCTAGCCTCCATAGGCTCTTTATTTTATTTTGGGAACTAGTACAAAATCTGCCTTCAGTATTTAGCTTTGTTTTCAATTCATGTATATGCCAGTTAATCTTGCTATCTCTCAGCATTTTTATTCTTCCTCAGGGAGGACTTGGATGTTCATGAGGGCTCTCCTGATCTTTTTTGTTTCAAATTAATTTTTCTTTCTTTATATTTTTCTCTTCCAGCATCAGTGATCCATTTATTTTCAACTTATGTCACAAAGATCATGCTGTGGGAGACCAGATGTGTTCCCGTTATTCATATCATGATATAAAAGCGATTCATCTGATGCGCTTTCTTCTGCAGGTAGGAACCAAAATGCTTGGCCATTTGAGGGAAAGCTGCAACAGCAGTAATGACATGTGACTGAAAACCACTTGCACAATTTGTACTAAGACTGCTGAGATTTCTTTGTTTGAGTCCCAGAATGCTTTTGCTCCCATCATTGCTTCATTAGCCTTTGGTAATACAAACTCCTTCCTTTATTCACCAGAGTGTTTAAGCACCCTCACTGGAGTGGTTGGCTCATTAGCTGTTGGGCTAGCAATGTTCTTCACAGTTTATCTCAATGTTTTTGAAAATAAGACTTGAAGTCAATTTCCTGTGTTTTGATGGAAGCTCCCAGTAAGTGTCTGACTTACAGTAATGCTCAGCTCCCACAGACTTCAGTAGTTTTGAACATCAGTGGACTATGGGTATGTGTAACACGCTTACCTTGGGCCTCTTGGAATAACTTTCAGGTTGTGTATGTGAGTCAATACACGAATCGTAAGTCAGAGCAGAGGGTTTGAATCCTCTGCCTTTAGCTGCACTACCCAGAAGCTACTCATGACCAGTGGCCTGGTACCCTTCTAGTTTTGTCTGGTTTAGATGAGCCTGTAATGAGAATCATGGAACAGTTGTATCCAGAGCTTCTTGCAGCACCAGAGCCTGTACTTGCTCTGGAGGGTTTTGGTACAGTCTAAAGAGTAATTTACAGATTTTGTTTGACAAAAATATGGAGTTTTGAAGCAGCCATAACTAGTTACCTGTTATTTTGAATCCAGTTTTGGAAGGTGTCGTGGTTTAGCCCCAGCCAGCAACTAAGCACCACGCAGCCGCTCGCTCACTCCCCCTACCCCGATGGGATGGGGGAGAGAATTGGAGGAGTAAGAGTGAAAAACACTCCTGGGCTGAGATAAGAACAGTTTAATAATTGAAATAAAGTAAAATAGTAATGCTAATAGTAACAGTATAATAATGATAATAATAATAATGATACACGAAGCAAGTGATGCACAATGCAATTGCTCACCACCCGCCGACCGATACCCAGACAGTTCCCGAGCAGCGATCGCTGCTCCCCGGCCAACCCCCCCCAGTTTATATACTGAGCATGACGTCATATGGTATGGAATAGCCCTTTGGGCAGTTTGGATCAACTATTCTGGCTGTGCCCCCTCCCAGTTTCTTGTGCGCCTGGCAGAGCATGGGAAGCTGAAAAAGTCCTTGACTAGCATAAGCAGTACTCAGCAACAACTAAAAACATCAGCCTGTTATCAACATTCTTCTCCTACTAAATCCAAAACACAGCACTATGCCTGCTGTTAGGAAGAAAATTAACTCTATCCCAGCCGAAACCAGGACAGAAGGTTGAGATTCAACAGAGAATTAAGAAATCACTTGGAAAATTCAAAAGTTGGAGAAAATGGGGCTGATAATTGTCTTATGTCACGTAGTATAACACTCATCCATGACTCAGCCCTGTTTTATATTTAATTATGTATGCAAAATGGACAATTTTAGTAGGTGAGACTTGCTTCTGGGTATAGCATATCTCAGTGGTTAGGTCACTCTCCAAGCATGTATAGGAATGTTAAGTCTTGTTCTGAGTAACTGTATGAAGCTTATTTTCTTACATCACTGGTGAGCAATCTGAGCAACAGAACTGTCACCTCTTCTTCTGTTTTGTGAATAGCATGAAAGTTGCCAGTGGAATCTTGCTGCCTTCTCACATATTCACATGTCTGGATTTTTTAAAACATGTGAAATGGAAATGTTTTGTGTGACCCAAAGTGAAAAATGGAGATGAGTAAAAACAGTCTTTGAATGGGCCTAGGGCAAAGGTGGGGCTTGTTGGTTTGAGGGGTTTTTGTGTTTTTTTCGGTTGTGGGGGGGGTTTTGGGGGGATGGGGAGTGGTGGTGTTTATTTTTGCTTCATTTCAATTAACGAACTGAAAACTCGGGTATCTGTATCAGGCTGTCAAATTCTTGCACTGGAACTCCAGTGGAAAAAAATATTGCAGAAAAAGAAGAAAACTGATTCCTTGTGCTTTCCCTGCGGGACAGGTGGATCAGCTGTTTAGGCAGGTACTGTGCCTCAGAGAGCTGATCTCCTGTTCATGCACATAGCCCAGCTCAGAGCAAAGCACTGTAAAACCATGTGGCCCAATTCTGTAATGGCAACACTTGAGCACACTTGGTTTGGAAAGCTGAGCTTCAAAGCAAAGGCTGCAAGCTGTTTATTGTCATAGCTGCTCTCATATTACCTTTCTGCTTTATACTTCATTTGTGAATCATGTATGGGGCAGTTGCCATTGTGGTGTTTTTGTAGGTTTGTATTGCACCTGCCATATTTGGATTGAAACTCAGGTCTGGGTTTCCAGACACTACACATTATTTACAGTTTTACTTGACTGAAGTTCGGGGAAGAAAGGACCACTCACTGAGTAAATAATAGGATTATATGCAAGTGCCCAACATAACAATAGGTGGACACATTATGGAAAAAAGGGGGTGAAGTTTTCAACTTTGATTATTTAAAGCTTCAATGAGAAATGTCATAAACTTGCCTTCCTCCCCTGCTGCTTCTAGTCAGGAGAAATCATTCTGGCATTTCTATTGAGCTCCCTATTCATTTAGAAAGCAGTGTGGTTGCTTTTTAAAGGAAACTCTTATTTAGCATCCCCTCTTCATGTAATCTTTCTCACCTAATTAGAAGTTAACACTACTAGTGTTTTGTTAATCACACTAAGGTTTCAAGATAAAAATGCTTCAGAGGCAGCAGGAGGAGGAGTGTGATGGAACCAGTATCTGGAGTTTCATTTTGCTTCAAAGAAGCATTTGAACTCCTAGTCAACCCAGTAGGAGCATTCCTACAGTTGGAGAAATTGGGAATATTAGGCATATTTTGCTACACTTCTTCATGCTTGACACAAAGTCAAGGACTTTTTTTTTTTTTTTTTAAATCCCTGAAGAACTGGACAGGTCATGATGGTCTCTTCACAGCCCTAGGCTTTGCTTTGCAGCTCTTCACACTGTAAATGATTTGCCTTTCCAGGAGATCGCCTTGGAAATATTCTTCAAAAATGGTTACTCCAGATTTCTTGTCTTCCATGACAGCGACCGAAATAAGATATTTAAGAGGTAATCACTACTTTGTAATAACATGTGAACACCCAGGTGACACTCCTGGTCTATTGCCCCTATTTATCCTGGCTTCAAATGTCTGTCGTGTGCTGCCCCAGGGGCTTTTTGTTCAATTGCAGCTCCTTGTTATTTAATGGGTTACACTTAAGCAAAACTATGACATTTTCCTTTTGCTGACCTGTGAATTCTTTGGAGCATTATATAGCCATTGATTTATCAAGGGGGCTAATGCATGTGTAGGACTCTTCTAGCACCCAGTGGTGAGTTGTATGTCCCTGCATCCCAGAAAATAGCAATTGTAGTTGTAGCTGTGCTGCTTCCTCTCATTGAGATGAGAGCACCACCTCCACCTCATCTCACAGTACTGGGTGAAGGAAGGTTTATTCCTGCTTTCTTCCAACACCCAAAGTGTCATTAGATTCTTTAGGAGTAAAATGGGTTTTGTGTCTCTGACTTTGTATCTTTGGTGTGGAGTTAACTTTTAACAATGGAATTTTTGTTTAAAAAAGATTTCTCCTTATGTGCTTGTCTTGTTTGATGGAACTTGAATGTATGAAGTGATTAATTTGCATTGTGCTTTCTTGGTTTTTTTCCTACTGCATTTCTGGCTGTTATACCAGGTTTACTTTCACTGTCCTTTATGCGGGAAAAATACTTCAATACATAGTACTTTCTGTGGTAAATTCTGCAGCCTGGACTGAGGATTTGTACTGTTAATTTCTAAACAATCACAGCAGTTCCTTCTGCCTCTGAAATCTCTGAACAGTTTCTAATGGAGTATTGCTTAAAAAGTCAATGCAGATTTAACCAGTCTTGCTTTCTAAACTGGCTGCATAGTGTAGCTACTTAGAATCACCAGGTTCTGCCCCAGAGCCAGCTGCTTTGTTTAGCCCTTATCTTTGCTGTCTCTCAGCTCTGACAAACATCTCTTGGGGGAATCTTGTGGAGGCAGTTCAAGATAACATTTTGATCCTCAGCTGCCTGTGTTGCCCCTCAGCTGAAGGTCACCAAACCTATGTATTTCAAGGTTTAGTACATCTGACATCATAAACTCCCAGTGAAATAAATAGGAATGGCTGAGATGTGAGTTGGTATTCCTTTCTGCCATTTTTGCTAGATAAATGTTAGAGTGGGTTCTCATGCTCTGGCTTTAATTAATAGCAACTTAAACCACCTGATCATAATTCCATAGCCCTATACATCAATTTAAGGCCCTATTTGGGAAAGAAACTGCTTTTATCCAGCCCATAGGCAATTCCTTAATATTAAATGTATGCTTTTGCTGTTGTCTTGCAGCTTTGTATTAGGTTAGACTCTCAGTGAAATGCTGTGGCATCCTTCAGGAAGAAAGTTACTGTCAGGACATGACATAGATTATATAATATGTAATGTCTACAGATAACCATTTAAATAATTATGTTGACCTTTCATATCTCCTGTAGATTTTGCTCTTTCCAACCTGCTCTGAAGTCGAAGGGGATAACAGAGGAGTCCCTGAATATCAGGTAAAACATAGGAAACATTGGATAACTGTAGATAACAAGTGCAATTGTGTGAATAAGTTGCACCTTAAAAAAAAAAAAAAAAAAACCAACAAAAAACCAAACCTTTCAAAATGTACCTATTTGTGTCCCATATTTTAAAGATTCAAAAGTGTCCCCAGAACTCCGAAAAGCATTCTAGTGTACAGCATCCACAGTATGAAGACATGAAGAACATGTAGCTGACTGTGCATAGTTGATTAATAATTGTTACCTCCTTAATATGACTTTATTGGTAAACTCTACACAGGTGGTTAGTGTGGGAAAGAGACAGTCAGTGAGGTGAGGTTAGAGCTAATCCATAATGCTTCTGTGTAATGGCCTCTTTATTGCGTGGTTAGAGCAGACAGTGATAGATGTACAGATGGATGTTTTGGCATGTTATAGTAACTGTGCAGTGGAGATTCCAACTTGTTGTCCCTCAGATTTACTGCTGCAGGAAAGAAGTTTTCTCCTAGTGGGAGGTGATTGAGAGCATGTTTCATGCTGACCTTTAGTTATTTGCATACCTGTAGCTCTTCTCAGTTTGGGTATCTGAGGAACACAACCCTAAGTGCCTAATTGGTGTCCTCTGAAATGATTGCCTGGAGGCTGGAATATTGTTGAGACCTGAGGGGCAGATTGCCCCTATGAGTTGTTGTGGCCTGTGTCAGCTGTACTGTTCTTTTTCATTTTCACTCTAGCTGTTGTAGATCATTAGCTACCTTGTAAGTAGTAGCCATCAGCTTGCAAAAAGTATCAGTGCAGTATGCAAACAGTTCTGGCTAGAGTCTAACCTATGCCAGAGGTGATGGTTGACTCTGTGGAGCATGATGTGTGTTCTATGTGGAGTAACCAATAACTCACCTCAGGGTTTCCTTTGCCTGTGCTTGCTGGGTGCTCAACAGGTGGGAATGTCTTGAGATAAGATGCACTATGGCAGCAGGAACGTTGGTCTTTAGCTGGGCTTGTGATTACTGTGAGAAACAGTTGACTAGCGTTTGGTCTCAGAGATTGAAGCAGGCTGTATGTCTAGGTCTAAACTAACCTGTCCTGAATCCCATAAGGCTCTGCCTTCAGTTTTACTCCATTGGCTGAGAGGACCTTATTCGCTCTGAAAACGTAAGGGGCCTTTGGCATAGCTTTGGCTGGGCCATGTTACAGCATGAGCTGAAATAAAATAAACATAAGATAGTGCCACTGCCTAAGTGATGATCCCAGAAAAGTTGTGCTTAAGTGGAAAGCTAGAGAAAACTACCACAGTGGGCATGCTTCCTTTTACCAAGCTCCAGTCTGGGAACTGAAGGACTGAGGACTTGATGAGTTTACTTTTCCCTCATTTGAATTCTGGAGCTGCTTCTGAGTTAGAAAAATTCAAGAGCAGCACAAGGGGCTCCTTCCCCATCTAGGGAGCAATGGCCATCTTCCATAGCATCTCAGCTTTTCCCACCCTACCTGAGACAGGGGAGGCAGGCCAGACTAAGCTCCTTGCCTAGACACACTATTAATAACTTCACAGCTGAAGCACAGAAAGAAGAATTACTAGTTTGATGTATCACATGACACTGAGGTAGTAGCATTTCTGGGAAACCCCATATCAGTTTTTCCACCTTGTCCATAGGAATAATACACAGGAGTTCTGACTCCCAGGCTCTACTGTAGCCATTTAAAAAATGATAACGGGCCGTTACTGGACAACTGAGTGCTTTGCTCCTGGGACTTTATTCTTCATTTAAATATACTTAAATGTTTGCTCTCACCATATGTTACTGTGGCCACAGCCAGCACCTCTTCTCATGTCATGCTTGACTGCTTTTATAATCTGCTCATTGCTTGTACCTGTATATTGCTGTTTGCAGGCTGTCAGCACTGTCTGCCTTAGGGATGTGATTTGAGCAAGTGAATGTGTGTGCTCAGGTGCACACATGCATGTGCACATGTGAACAGAAAGCTAAAAGTACTGTGGGGATGCCAGACCTGATTTCATCACCAGCTGACTCCTGGATCATGGAAGAGGGTGACTCCTCTTAGTCACTGCTTAAGTGATATGCCCAGGACCTTGAAAAGAGCAATCTTTTCCCTACCCCTTCTACCTTCTGTACCTTCCTTGAAGGGAGACTCAGAGCAGACAAAACACAATGAATATAGGTAGTGGTGCTGATTTTGTCATGCAAGTTAGAGATCACTGCACCCAGATATAGCACCCAAAATCCCAGAGAACTTGCTTATGCAGAGCGTGGCCCATTGATGACAAACAGGATCACCAGTTGTTTAGCTCTAAGCATTGTGTTTGCACTGCTTAGTTACTCCTGAGCATAACATTTGTGTCTGCTGCCTCTGCTGAATTGGAACAGGCTTACGGTTCCTACACTGACAGTGCCTATCTGAGATTTTCTGAGGGGCTGGTGGCAGCCACCAGCAGCAGAAGGTTCCTAGGTCTGTTCCTTTTCCTTCAAAGGGTATTCACTGAGACTAGCTTAACTGTGTCTCACCCTATGAAAATGAACAGAACTAATGTTTGGGGCTCAGTGGTGGGAGTGGAGTTACTAGAAAAACCTGTCTTTTTGAAGATTCCTTCACTGGACATGTGCACACACAAAAGACAGAAAAAACCCCAAGGAAACCCAAACATGGAGAACACATTGTAGGAACAGGCCCAGATGGAAATAGTCCTTCCTTTCCCAAATGAACCCTTTCCCAAATATAAATCTGTTTTTGTTGGTTTGAATTTCATTTTAGACACCACACAGATCTCCTTCTTCTAAAACTGAGTAGATCTTTAAAGGAAGAGAACTGCAGGAGGAGGGAGGAGGAAAGAGGTCAGCTTTTTATTAGCCTTGGCTGGACTTCATGGGACATGGCCTGTGGAGTGCCTTTGTATATTTCAGGGATGTTTACCTCTTAATCTCCATTCTTCTTGGTTATCCTTTGCAGAGGAATTGGGTGTAAGGAGTAAAGGGAAACTTGGCTTCTTTGAGGGGCTGGGTGTCACGTTCTTTAACTTGTTCAGCTTGCCCCTCTCATTCTGACACATCTTCAGGCAGGAACAGCACAGGTCTTTCTCTTGTACCAAGTAAAGCGTTTCTATGCGTTTGATGGAGTCTGCATGCTCTTCTTGCTTTGTTGAATCTGAGAAAGGGTTTCTTTTTGCATTCAGTTTCTTGAGCTTGGGGAGATTTTTCACACTGTTTGGGATGGTGGTCAAGGCGTTGTCAAAGAGACCTATCTCCTTAAGTTCTTTCAGGGCCCCAAGACTGGTGGGAATACTGTCAAGACAGTTCAAGCCAAGGTTGAGAATATGCAGGTTCTTGAGAAGGTTCAACTCTTCTGGCAGATTTCTGGTGGTCAGCTTGTTGTTGCATATATTCAGGTAGAAAAGGTTCTGAAGTGTACCTATTGCCTCGGGCAGCTCCTCGAGCTGATTACTATGCAGATCCAGCCAGCGCAGTTTCTGGAACTTCTGGATGCTGCTTGGAATCTTTTTTAACATGTTTCTACTCAAATCAAGTTCATCCACATCAGCCAGTTTCAGAATGCACTTGGGGAAGGTGGTGATACCCATCTTGCTTAAGTCAAGATGGCGCCCTCCATCAAAAGATATCCGGATGGAATTTTTGGCAATTTTTAAGGTGATCTTCTTCCCTTTTTGACCTTTTGCTTTTCCCTTGGCCATCTCTCCACTGAGAGACAGACACACACACCAGACTCTGTGGATGAAGTGTGGAAACTCCAGTAAAGGCTTTGAAAGCAGTGGTTGTTACTCCCTAATTAAAAACAAAATAATCACATAGTTATAAATTACCATGTGACTATTGGACTCTTCAGAAGTCCTTTTTTTAAGGTCAGGACTTTTCAACCCTGAAGCCACAACTCTGAAAGTTCTTCCTGAAAGTATTTTGAGTAGGTGAAATTCTAATAATTTACGTTATTATTTTATTGCATTGTAACACCTATATTGCATTACAGGGTGAAATTACAAGTGGGAGAAATTTGCTGTCTTTCATCCCTAGATACTGATTTGAGCTCAGCATGTGACGAAACTGAATGAAATGTGTTGTTATCCATCCGCTGCTTGAAGACAAGAGCAAAATGTATTGTGGGTCTCAATCCAGTCCTTAGGGACTGTACTAAAAGAAGCTATATAAAATTTGCTTATTCTATCAGACCAACAGGTTGCCTTCTTTACAGGCCTGGCATCTGTTGACAGGTTGGTTAAACATCCAGTTTAATGGACCTGAGAATTGGGCTCTGGATGCTATTGAAAGATTAAATATTTAAAGCAAATGATTAAGAGTCTTGTTTTAACCGGAACCTCAGGAACATAGTGGGCTCCCGGATTTGCCAGAACTGCTTCAAGTTCACACATCACCTGCAGAGCAGACTGCAACAGGGTGTGTGTGTCAGTGCTGCTTAATGACATGTTAAACCAGGCCTTGGTAAGTGTCTCCTGTGCTTTCAAGGACAGACTCTGGACACTCTAACCTTGTCTTTCCATCCATGATGTGGGATAGATAGACTCCCCCTGCAAAGCTGCCCTGCCCTCGAAAAATGCATGTAGGTGTTCTGGTCAGACTTTTGACTCATATAGATGCTCAGCATGGGCTACGTGCTTTGTTGATTTGAGGCCTGTATGAGTAATTGTCCACTGTAGTCTCAGGTTTCATGAACTGTCTCTCTAATCGAAGGTCATCAAACACAGCTCCTAATTATGGCTAGTGACAAAGGAAATAGGCTGATTCCCTGGAAATGGATGACAATGTCCCTCTCAGCCAGAGAGCAGAGAGGAGCATGGGTTACAGCTGGCTAATCTCAGGATGGTCCAGGTGCTCTGGCATTTAATTGTGAAGAGTCAAATCGCAGCTTTGATGAATGATTGTTTGGGACAAAATATGGATTTGTCTACAATACATTTCCCTATTAGAAAGGCTTCATTACAAACCCTTCAGGCTTTTTGGCTACTCATTAATCATGTGCAAATACATGAA